ATCACATATTTCAAGCCTCAAAATGCTCTAAAAATAGTATGCAAAAAGTAAAGAAAAGAGAGAGAAAAGATGGAACAAAAGCTCAAAGTATACCTCTTAAAGAGAGGAGGAGCTTCTAGTTCACAAACCACAAGTTGAGCACTCTCAAGAGCTGAAATTATGTTCAAGAATCTCCGCAAAAGGCCTCACGTTTAGGCTTAGGAAGTGTATGTATAGTGTGTGTATATTCCAAGAGAAGAGAGAAGAGTGTTTGACAAGTTATTGCTCTTGGCAAAATTTTCTAACCCCAAACTATGAGGGGGGGTCATGTATTTATAGAAAAACATCTGCTCATATCGAAAATATTTGTAACGAGACAGTTGGTGCAAGGCATGCATATAGGGACAGCTGGCAGTTGTCAAAATATCTGTTATGTTAAACATGGCTAGCCGGCCATGAAGAGGGACGACTGGCCAATCAAAAATGGCCTGCCGGTCACTTGTTGGCCATCTCTTCTCTGAGTGGTTAGGCTAGAAAAAATTAGGTTTTGGCTCAAAGGGGATGTAAGGTTTAGGGTTTAAAGCTTCAAACCAAAGCCTTTTGCTGAAAAAATCGAACGATTGTGCAGCGTAACATTTCATCATCGAGTGTTCAGAGTGAGGTGCTCAAGTCTTAAGGGCAGTAAAAAATGGAGTGTTTATACAAAGTTGCCAACCATGGTGAACAAAATGCTTGGACCGATGCAAAAAGAAAGACTTAAAAAAAGAAAAAGAAAAAGAATAAAAGGCGCCACAGATCTTGGAACACAGCCAAAACAATGTCTCCAGGAGACTACAAAGGGACACCAATGCTTCATCAAGATCTGAAGTAGATTGCCACAAGATCTTCTTCAAATTGAAAAATGTGAATTTTCCAATATTAACAAGTGACCAAAGGCCATACCAAAGACCTAAAATGCAAATTTAGAATGATCAGAATCATCATGTGCTACATTGGCATCAACATTTCCTTTTTTCTTCAAAATTGGACAATCTTTCTTCCAATGCCCTTTGAACGGGATCTACCACTAACTATCAAAGCATCACTAAATGTATCATTGCCGGTCTCTTTATTTTTCTTCCCGTGCTTATTATTCATTAAACGCATTAGAAACTTCTAGAAAAGCTACTCCCTTTCCATACAGTAATATGGGCATAAGGTGATTATACTTGTTAGCTAAGGAATTTAACAACAACGGTGCTTTTATCTTCATCTTCAATTTCAACATCTAGGTTTAATAAATTGGCAAGAATTTTATTGAAACGATCTAGATGTTCTATCATTGAAGCACCTCTTTTGTACTGGAAACAGAAGAGTTGCTTATTTAAGTGGAGTCAATTTTCTACACTTGTCATCATGTATTCATCTTCGAGTTTCTTCCACAAATCCTTTGCAGAAATTTCTCTCATGACGAAGTATTTTTGTTCTTTGGCTAGAGACAATCGGATGGTGCCGCAAGCTTGGAGTTTGATCTATGTCAATTCCTTATCACCCATATCAATTGGTTTGTGTTCCAAAGCGATGTCAAGTCTTTGCTGGTAGAGAACATCCATGACTTCGCATTCCCACATGATGAAGTTGTTGGTTCTATCAAATTTCTCTACCTCGAACATTGCGTTGGACACTGTAGTCCTTTGCCTAGAGTTGATTGAAGACTCAGTTACCTTTGGTACTGAAGCTTTTGCCATTATAACTCATTTAATCTCCACCACAAGCAATAACGTCTTCTTAGAAATGCCCAAACCACAACAATTTCTATGCTCCCGAAAGATTCTTATAAACTTCGGGTTTGAATCTCAAAAAACAAAGTGTGGAATTGCATCTAAAGTTGTTTGTTTAGCCAAGAATACCCTTTCCCACCTTTTCTAGGGGTCAAATTGAAATTTCTCAAATTTCTAGGTGCTAAATTGAAAATTCCACAAACTTTTGGGTCGAAAGTGAAATTTGAGAGGTTATGGGGCCAAAAGAAAATTTTAGAAATAAATAGGGCAGCACTGTAATTTACCAAAGTTTAGGAGAAAAAATGCAATTTTAAAAAAATCTGGGTGCCATAATGCAAATTTCTAAAACTACTGATGACCTGGCATAATGCTGACATGTCAGACGCGTGGTGGCTGATAGGGTGCTATGTTGGCTATTGACTGATGGTGTTGCGTCACAGTGACATCACGTTGAACGAAACCACTAAGAGCATCTCCAATGCATGAGGCAAATGGAGAGAATTAGGCATTTTGCCTATTGAAGCTGCATTTCTAGGGCTCCAACCCATGAGGCAAATGGTGAGCCATTTTGCCCATTCTCGTTTTGGCTCTCTACATGTAGCCAGCCTCCATTGCTAGGAAAATTGTGTTCCCGCCAACACAGGTGACTCTCTTTTTCTTTCCCTCTCTTTCTCCCTTTCCCGTTCTTCCCCATCAACGATCTCTCTCAACCCACCTCCTGTCCCTTCCATGATTCATACCCAGATTTCTCCCTATATTGCCATACTAACGCCATTGCCATAACCCTTTTCAAGTGCAGAATTTAAAAATCAATTAAACAACTTCGATAGTGAGAGAGAGAGAGATAGAGAGAAAGAGTTGTGACAATTCAACGACGCTGGAGACATGAATGGCCCAGGTGGGCAAAGAGAGGGCATTTGGGGGTTCATAGAGTGGCAAAGAGAAGAACCCATCATCAATGGAAGCTCGGCAGCAGAGGTGGGTCTCACTACGATGGGAAACCCAGCAGCACCCAAAAGAGAAGTAGCCATGGCTTTGTTGTTCTTGAATATACTGTAAATGGTGGTTTTGAGGAGTGGGTTCGTTGAATTGGGTGAGAAACAATACCAATCTCATTGAATTTGTGAAGAGGAAATGGTCTTTGAGGAGCCAGTAAGGTTGATGCTGCCATGACTGTGAGTGAGGTGTGTGTGTGTGTGTCAAGCAATGACCCCCAATACAATTTGAGGCCCCATTTCTCAATTAAATACCCACCATAAATAAATAAATAAGAGTGATTAAAAAGTTTTTATATATATTAAAAATAAAAAATAAAAAATAGAGGAAAATACAAATACATTACTTAAAATTTATTTAAAATACGATTTGATCCCTATAATTTTAAAATTACTCTTTGGAATTGATAAGAAATGATTCTATTTTTCTTTTATAATAGTTTTCTTTTCAAAATTAATGTTTATAATAGTTTTCTTTTAAAAATTAGTTAAGTTAGTTTGATTGGTTAGCTAAAATAAAGAGTATGGTTGGAGTATACACTAGCTAAACTACATAGGCAAAATAAAGAAGGTAATTTTCTGTGTACTTTGAGGAGCCATTTTAGAGAGTATGGTTGGAGATGCTCTAAAGAAGACAATAGTCCCACGTGCAGAACTTTAGGTGCGCATGAGGTTGCATTTGTGGTCTGTTCAACTTGATTTTGCACTATTGGACTCCTAAAATCGAGACGAACACAGAGATGTGTTAAAAAGTTTGGTAGACAAAATTAGTTTCGCGGTAGATTAGGAAAACAAAGCTTCGAAGCTTTGTTTTGCAAGTTGGGTGCTCTCATACTAGTTTGTTGTATCCAGAGTTCAGAAACAAACACCAATAACACTTCCACAGACAAAACAAACAAGATATATATGGTTTGGCAATGTGCCTACGTTCATGAGAGCAAATTTCACTAAACGGAGGAAGAAATTAGAAAACAAGATTACAAATTGAGGAGAACGTGGCAACGCTCTCAAACTCAACTCACACTCTGATTACTCACTTACTTCCTCTTCATTTGCAATGATTTTGTATGCTACATGCATCTCGATCAGGGATGGCCTTGACTTTTGGGGGGCTTAAGACAAACTCAAAAAATGTGACCTCAACTCTCATACATATTTTAAAATATATATATTGGTAAAATAGTAACAATCTTCTATTTATTTTTATTTTTTGCGTTCTATAAATTTGTTGCATATGGTACACATAATCATTGATGTAAATCATAATTATTGAGATAAATTTTGAACAATTTCGATTATTAACACTATTAATTTATTCATGATTTTTCTTTACATAGTAAATGAAATTGTAAAATTTGATTAACTTCAACTTTAAAAAAAAAAAAAAAAAATTCTCGAGAAGCAATTGTCACTCGTATAGTCAAACAATATTCTATAAATAATTCATATATTTGGTAACCATTTTTAAATAATTTACCAATTCAATTGTTTATTAAACTCTCATTTTTAAACTACTAATATTATAATGTAGTGCTTAGTTCACTGAAATAAAATTGAATGGAGTGGAATTCCTTAGTTTCTTTATAAAATTAATAGTCCCTCATAATTGTGAATAATAATTTCATTTGTAATCTTTTTTAATAAATCAAACGTGAAAGTGGACATTATGATGAAATAATTACTCTAGTAAGCTTTATTTTAATAAACCAATAATAAATTAAAATCGAAATAAATAGGGATTCCCTATTTATACAGAAAATTTGGGAGGCAAAAGGGTACTTTGCCAAGTCATCAACTTACCCACTTGCTTGCAAGTTAATGCTCCAGCTTCAGCTTCTAGAACCACAAGTTGCCAATTTGTAAAACTTCCATAATGTGAGTCAATTCAATGACTTAACTCAATGAGTTAATATAACACAACTCGACCAAATCCGACCGCAAAACCATATCTTACTATTGGTCAATTTCGAACAGAACACCAGTCGAAATCTGTTGACTACATTTTTAATCCACCATATCGGGTCGGTTGACGGGTGGATAGGAAAACCAAGCCGGTCTGACCCATGAACAACCCTAGATATTACAAAGGCAATAAGAGAAATAATTTGAGTTTGATAATCAAGAACCAAAAAAAAATAGAAAATAATAATAATAATAATGGAAACAAATTCACAAAATACAGTAAGGAGATAAAAAGTAGTGAATAAATCCTTGCATAGCATTGCTAAGTGGTTTGCTAACAGAGACGCCTGATCATGTGCTGCAGGAGAAAGGGTTCATAGCAATTACACTCGCGTGGTAGTTTTGGTATGGCTTTTCGTGGTCCTTGCCTTAAACTCAAGCTACACAGCCAATTTGTCTTCAATGCTCACAGTGTCAAGGCTAGAGTCGAGTGTGACAAATGTAGAGTGGCTAAGGAGAAACAATGCAAAGGTTGGCTGTGATGCTGATTCATTTATAGGGGATTACTTGGTGAACAATCTCAAATTCAAAATGGACAATCTCAAGAAAATCCACAGTGAATATGACTATCCTTCTGAACTGCAGACCTCCAACATCACTGCAGCATTCCTTGAACTCCCCTATGAGAAAGCTTTTCTCTTAGAAAACTGCAATGGATACATTGCTACTGAGCTTCCCGACAGATTTGGTGGATTTGGATTTGTGAGTATCTTTTGCTTTTTTAATTTTTATTGTTTTGTTTTGTTTTTCTTTTGGATTTGAAACTCCTTGATTGTCTCTGTGTTCCTTGAAATTAAGATTCCCTATGCAACAAAACAAACCAACACAGATTGATCAGTGGGTAAATCACAAATATACCCTATGAAATTTGTTTAAAATATGATTAATTTTCCCCAATATTTCTAGAAATTACATTCCGTCCCTTGGAATTTTTTAATTTAATAAAAAAATGACCCTTTTATTAAGAATTCATAAAGTCAATTAATAGTTTGTAATGATGTTAGAAATTTATTTCAATTAATAATTCAAGTAATTTAATCATTGTATATGAGAGCAGTTAGGAATTTTATTTTTTCAGTTAATTCTGTTACATAAAAAAATTCTAACGAGGGGGTACTTGGAATTTTTGAAATCACATGAGCAACCCATATTTTAAATAAATCTCAAGGAGTATATTTGTAATTTACCATTTCTTTTAGGACAAACAAAACAAACACAACACACTACTAATACATGGGTACATACAATATAGGGAAATTTTATGATACCATATGCACCGGTTGTTACGACTTTTTTGGTTTTTGGTTTTGACCTAGTGTGGTATTAACGCACACAATGTCGTTTGGAAATACCCTTTGTCCCAAGTAGGCTTTCTTGATCCTTAAGTTGGTACCTAAAATAGGAATGAGTACTCCGGTCGAGGGTACCGGAATTAGCACTCCAATGGGCAAGTTAGTATTCTCATGTTTTTCTTATATCACAAGTTATCACTTTTTTCTTACATACCTCCTCTTTGGCTGATGCTCCTCCTTTTTATATTGCTCTCCAAGGACCCACTTTCTTATTATGGACACCTCGCCCTCATAGCTGGGCCCCCAATCGTTCCATAGGATCCGTGGCTTAGTCGGCCTGCAAGCTAGGTTCTAGTCGGCCATAGCCCTGCTTAGTTTAATCCGGTTACAGGCCGACTTTTCTTCGCCCGTCTTTTTGACAATCTTGTCGACTTATATACGGCTCATATTATATTCAGCTCCCACAATTGACCCCAAACATCCAAGTAAGGTCATTCCGGTTGGCATGTTTGGTTAATTGATACATTCCTCTCGGTTACCAGATCGGACAGAAACCCTTGAAAGTTAGAAATACTGCGGTTGCACTCCTTTTAGTACTGATTCGTCAGAATAGGAGCGATAGTTTAATCATTACAACTTCCTGCCCTTTCGTATTTGACAATCATTTAATGTTCGATTTGAAAACTGTCCCTCCGTATATTCTTGAATTGAAAGGCTCTCAACTTTCTTTGGCATCCTTCTCACCAACCTCCTTTAAGACTTTTGCAATTCCACTCCCTACTGTTCATATTCTTCTTCGACTTGTAAGTTCCCATTTCTCTTCTCATTCTGCTCTCATTCCAATCCCTTACGTGTTTTGTTTTCTAGTACACATTTTATTTCTATTCCGTCTTAAATGGTGAGGCATTTTAAAGCCCTCCTCTTAGAAGAGCGAGTTATAGCCTTCCGTCGTCATTTTTCAATCCTAGATGACACCCACCGATCCCTTGTTGCAGATGGTGCGTTGGATATGGGGACGGTTGACACAAAAACCATTATTTTCCCTCTTTTGTGCATCGCTGAGGATGGAGTCCGATTCCCTATCCATCCTTTCTTTAGGACGACCCTGCATTATTGGGGTCTAATTCCCTCTCAACCTAACGTGAACTTCTACCAAATAATCAAGGGTATAGTAGAATTGAATAGCCGACTAGGTCTTAACCTAGGCATCCCAGTTATTTGGCACTGCTACATTACGGCGAAATCACCGGTCGGTAGGGCTGTTACTTTCTGAGAGCTAAAGACGTAGATCACCACTTGATGACCATGCTTGCCAGCTCTGGCATAAGCGTTGATGATGTCATGGTCGCCGTTCGAGGTAATTTGGAATTCAACGAGGGAGAAGTTCGCCAAGTCCCAATGCTGAGGCAAAAAGGCAAGCCAGGTGGCTGACTAGAATTGTTATTTTAAATAAACTATCTACTCGGCTTAACTACTAGATGTTGATCATTATTTTTGTCATGCAGGCAATGACTTAAAAAGAGCACTGACATCGGCAAATGAAACCGTTCTTGAGCAAGTAAAGGCGGTCCTTAATTACAAAGGCCGTGCAAACCTTCAAGGACAAGGGCACGTAGTCCATGTTTTCCTGAGGTATGGCCCAAACTACTCCACTTTCTCGGCCACATATCATATCCTTGCGTCGAGAGGTGAACTACAGCCTACTGCACTTATATTCCATAGTTACAAAAGTCTAAGGGATATTGGTGTTGAGGATTCTGACGCCGTCGAACAAGTCGGCAAAGACGAGCAAACAGAGGGCCGTGTAGAGGACTAGGAACTTAACAGAGAAATTGAATTGGTATTTGAACACATCAGCCCTGACCATCATACCGATCACTTCTCCATCTCTGGCCGAGTAGCCCTATCTGCTCTAGAAGATGACATTTTCATCGGTTTGGAGTAGGGCTATTTAAAAATCCACTCAAATCGGTAATCCGGACTGAACCAGGCCAAACCGTACAGTTTGGTTAGGTTCTATTTAGAACCGGTTTGGTTTCAGTTCAAGAAATATTGAGAACCGTAAAAACGGTTCAGTTAATGGATTTTATGAAAAAACCATGGTTTGAACCGAACTGAACCAAATTTTAAGAGATATATATATATATATATATATATAAAATATTTAATAAACAATAGCAGTCCTTGAACCATGCATAAGTGTTATTTAATATGATATATATAGATATATAATATTTAATATTATCATATCAAGTTTTATTTTTATTAATTTGTTTTTTGTAATTAAAATGATATTAGGATGATATAGATATGTAATCTTGAGTAATGCCTTAATATTATTAGTTTTTATCATGAGTTAAATATAATCAGTTTGAGTAATTATTTTGCTAATATTAGCAATTTATTCTTGTAAATAGAAATTTTTAGAACCGTGAACCAAACCGCAACCGAACCGTTATTTTAGTTTGGTTGTGGTCCGATTTTACACGTCTAATGGTGTTGTCTAGTTTTGAAAATCACAGAACCGTTAGGATCGGTTTGGTTCTTGGATTTTCTTATAACCGAACCAATTCGGACCTTGTACACCCCTAGTTTGGAGAATCTTCCTAGGTCCGAATCCGAAGCAGAGGAGATGGGCAGAGAATCTCTTGCCCAATTTGCCAGACGACGAAATGCAGAAAAGATGGCGACTAGAAGGCAAGTCGACAGTACTGGGGGGAGTCAAGTAACTCTAACACGTGAGGTTCTTCCAGAAGAAACGGTCTGCGAAACGATCATGGCCGAATTGATTCCTAAAGAGCGCCAGACAGAAGTTGTGGGAGCTGATCTTCTAGGGAATAAATGACCTGCCGAGATCATAACCGATTTGTCAGAGGTGTGGATTGATAAGCGGCCAAGGATGTAGATGCCGTTCACCACAGATGATTTATTCAAGCCATTTATCATCCAATCAAGGATGAAGAATACGTCGGTTCTCACTAGCCGGTCGGCCATCAAAGATCCCGTCGTGGCCCTAAGTATGGCTTTGGCTCTCTTTTTACCAGAAGACAAGGCTACTTTCCGTGCCAAACTGGATGTCGTCTTGATTGCTTTGGTGGCGCAGTCGACCATATCGGTAAGTTGCAAAGATAAATAAAATTTCCCTTCTGACTCGGACTAACATGTTTTGGCTTCATTGCTTTGTTAGGGGGCGAGAAGGATTGTCGAGAGCCGTCATCATTATGATGTCGTAGAGCGACTCAACATCCTTGAAGGCCAACAAGAAGTAGAGAAAAGCAAGGCCATAGCTGCATTTGCCAATTTTGCTGTGGCAATGGAGAAAACCGAATCTGAAGCCACGAAGGTGGAAGAAGAGCAAGCGAGGGCCATTGCTGTTCAGGAGAAAACGTAACATGCCGACCTGCATCGTAGGGCCTTCGAAGAGAGAGCAAACTTGATAAATGGCTCCCTTAAGTTGGCTCAAGAAGAAATCTCAAAATTGAAGGCTGATCTTGAAGCGGAGAAGAAGGCAAGAGAGCTCGCTAAGGCGGATGCGGCCAAAGCTTTTGATACCGGAGAGCTTAAGGCCAACGAGTTGTACACTGATGAAGCCCTGAAGTTCAAGAATCGAGGTTTCAAGCACCGATGGCTCAAAGCTTTGGCGGCCGCCAAGGTGACTCTCGATCAGCCGATTCCCTATGAGCAGTTGGAAGTCGAACCGCTGGAATCGGATCCAGAGGATTTCGACTTTTGATCGGCCGGTTTCGTAATAGATACATTTTCCTTTGTTTTTGTTTGCTAGCTCTTATTTTGTTAAGTCTGTTAAACGGTTTAGTTTTTGTACTAAGGCCATGTTCATGTATAAAGTAACGAATGTACTCTTGCAGTTTATTAATGAAAATGCTCGTTTTGCTTGTGATAGTGTGAATGATTATGCATTAAAACTGAAATGTGCCATATTACAACACTAAGAATAAGAACATGAAAACATTTTTAAGCCGAATACCATAAAAACAACATGTTCATGGGGTCAAGTGGGGCATTATTTTCTTAATTCGGCAAAATGTTAAAAAGCCGAATAGATTAATAAATCTGCCCTTGCCCTAGTTGACCTTTGAACGTAACCACCGAATACAAGAACAAAGCATGTTCACGGGGTCAGGTGGGGCATTATTGTCATGATTCGGAAAAATGCTGAAAAGCTGAATAGATGAATAAATCTGCCCTTGCCCCAGTTGACCTTTGAGCATAACCTCCGAATACAAGAACAAAGCATGTTCACGGGGTCAAGTGGGGCATTGTCTTAATTCGGAAAAATGTTAAAAATCAGAATAGATTAATAAATCTGCCCTTGCCCCAGTCGAACTCTAAGCATAATCATTGAATACAAGAACAAAGCATGTTCACGAGGTCAAGTGGGGGCATTGTCTT